GGAGGGTCTAATAGAGCATCGGACTCAGATGCTTACTAATCGAGCGACCTCGATTCTAACTTCAGCCGTTTTCACCCTGCTTGTATATGGGTGTTTTAGGACAGCAAATGGATCATATCGGTCTTTTGTAGTCTTCCTTGACCATGATAGGATCAGTTATGCGTTATTAGTAATGGTTCGTCTTTGTTGAATGTCTAATTTTGACAGAACTTCGGTAAGTGCACTTTAAGAAACTTCCTCCGGTTACATTCCTTAAAAATCTCCAGTGGTGAGACTCCTTTTCCCCGTCGCTATTCTGTTAGCAGTTGCTGTTTGGTTTGGTGGTCTTTTGCAGTTGCGGGATCAGCATATATTCAGCTTCTGTTGGTTTTGTATATACAGTGACAGATTCGAATACCCGTCTGGCTTTTTTAGTTTTCATGACGCTTTTTGAAATTTTATGAACTTCGTACTTCATGGCATACATATTTTTGGGGGCAAACATCCTCGCAACACTAAACTTCTACTTAGGGTTATCTCACGGCAGTATTTGGCGTCATTTTAATAACACTTTTGTGGATTACTTCGCGTTGATGAGAGCATTTATGACATTTATGGCATTTAACATCACCAAATTACGAAACCCGTCAGATGCGGTAAAATGCAGGAGTGCTCATACAGTATGCGTGCCAACTCAGGAAATGTTAACCACAATTCTGAAATGAGTTTTCGACTGGAAAAGATTATTTAGGGAGGGTTGTAAAACTAATCAGCGTACAGCATAATCCCACAATAATTCAGTTACTTCAAGAAACCGGCTTGTAAATGAAATTCTATCTGGCCGTCTGCCGAAACTGCACTCTGCAAAAAATGCCATCTTATGTAGCGTGCCTTTTCTCATTGATTTTTGATGCTTTTATCAATTCAAATATTTCTCATAGAAAGCATGCGTAGAAATGTTCATTCCTTTTGCTCGTTTGGTAGAAATCAACGTCGTCTTCAAATTTCATACTTAAAGAAAGGGTATAATTTGGTTTTAATAACTCCTCTAGGTCCCGAGTACTTTTGAACTCGACCTGCCGTTACACTCGCATTCAGGGACTCCAAACTACAAGTAGTATATTTTCCGCGTACGGTAAACCATACATTTCTCTACGGTATGAAGAGGAGACCATATAGGGTTTGTAAAATTAAGCAGTGGATTTGAACCATATTGTAAGCTTTGTGATCAGCATTAGTAAATGCAGAGACACAGGGTTATATGAACGGGCATTTCAGGCCTTAAAAATCCCATAATTAGAAACCCGTTAAAACCAAATTATACCCTTTCTTTAAGTATAACATTTGAAGACGACGTTAATTTCTACCACAAAAGCAAAAGGATTGAACATTTTACGCATGCTTTCTATGAGAAATATTTGAATTAATAAAGACATCGAAACCAATAAAAAAAAATTTGTGCTACTTAAGGGAACATTTCTTACGGAGTGTAGTATCGGAAAGCGGATTGGAAGAAGTTCATTCAAGAGCCAGCTTCCCGAAGTAACTGAATTTTTATAGGATTATGCTGCAAGCTGATTAATATTACAACCCTTCTAAAGTTATCTTTTCGAGTCGTAAACGCATTTCAGAATCTTGGTTAACACTTCATGAGTTAGCACGCCTACTGTAAGTAGGCACTCTGAGGCAGTGGTATCTTGGAGCATGTGCTTAGCTTTGAGTCACCAAACAGAGTCATAATGGTGGAAATTCGGAAGCTGAACTGTGATCGACAGATCAGCCTTGTTCACCGACGTTATCTATGCAAATGTTTATGTTCAGTTAACCTGATATTTTTTTAATGAGCATACAAATCCATAATAATTAACGAGTGAATGGCCCACTACAAATCTTTTCGTGCACGATACGGTTAGCATCACGCCATGAGAGGTTGTACCGACAGAGTCAGGTGAGACCGGAATGGCCATTTCTGGCTTATTGGCCGTCATAATCCAATCATGTTCAATCCCAAAGCCATTTGTATGTTTCTTGGTTTCGAAAGGTGTAATGATACAATAATAGTCGTTAATAAAACATATCATCGCAGTCAACTGTGGGAAAGATATTCATCTATAAAATTTGTCTTTTAAAATTATATAAACTATATTCGACCTTAAAACGTGGGCATACCTGCCGCTATTTGCGAGTCGGAGGATACACGGAAGGCCTATCAGTGAGACTACAACGCATCAAAACCAGTTTCTAGGGGAGTAAGCTATGGGTAACAATGAGCGATAACTCGTGAAGCGGAAACATCAATACAGTGTTCATCTGCATTTCACTTTCACTGTAGACGACCAAGGTAAATGCGAAAAGATCGGACTACTTTCACCTTAATTAATTTAGATTAAGAAGGGTGTGGCGTAGCATCTGCACTTTTATGGTCTCCGTCGTCAGCCTTGTTGATGACGAACATCTGACGCAGGAAAGCCACAACCAGCAGGGCGTTATACTGCAAATACCAGTGACAAATGACACATTACTTTTTTTCTTAGAATTGCAGACGAGGCAGCATAGGGCGGATTCAAGGTTTTTGCAAGGGAACTTGATTTCTTATGCTGCGCACGCTTAAAGCAAACCCTGGCTGCGCTTGGTCTACCGTAATCTGTTAATACTTTGCAAGGAAAATACGGAACAAATCGATGTATAGAGCAATAGCATAGGATAATTTAAAGGTTAACAATTTCTATACGAATTATAAATAGCATCGGAATATCTCAACAAGATTAAGTTTGTCGGTGAACAAGGCTGATCTGTCGATCACAGTTCAGCTTCCGAATTTCCACCATTATGACTCTGTTTGGTGACTCAAAGCTAAGCACATGCTCCAAGATACCACTGCCTCAGAGTGCCTACTTACAGTAGGCGTGCTAACT